TTGTATTGAGAGCTCAAAATTCGGTTCAAAATGACAAAATATTTGCTACAGGGCCTTGAAATTTTAATCATGCCCGGCCCGGAATTTTACAAGTATGGCCACGTGGGAAATTTTGCTACTGCCCAACAACCGGGCGGTACCAAAATAATAGCTTCTCACATTGACAATCAACTCTATCTCATACTGGGAACCGAGCCTTTGCCGGACCTATACTTGTCCTCTTTTAAAAATTCAGAAAAAGTGCATCTTGTACCATAATCCTTCCCCCGTCTCCAAAATCAAAGTTATCTCGAAATTTATGTTCTCTCTTTCTCTCCCAATCACCAATCACCCCTGATAATTTTATTTATTGTCACTATATATGAAACTTTCGGAACCTTAAAATAATTTCCCATTTTTTTCACATTTCAAATTGGCTACCTCCTAACCTTATTTTCTTTGATTTTCCTTCTTATCCTTCCAGGTCACTTTTTAACCAATTTTGTTTTNTTTNTTCCTTNTTCAAACCCAACTTCTAGATCAGTTTTTAACGAATTCAGGTGCCAAGTATGAACATTGACGACAGCGCCGCCGATGACGTCGATTTTGAAGAGAGTATCACACTAGAAGAGGTGATTCGGAAGATGACGATGATGTGGCAAAATGAACTGTGTGCTCCGTGTCTGCTTCCAACGCACATGGGCATGGTCGACATTATTTTAGATCAATTCAAAGGGATGGCGGACAATATCGGAAGGCAGGTGTACACCCTGCCGCACGCAGTACAAAAATCGCGTTTTTCAGCAATTTTCCTTCTCATAACCTACCTTTCGGTATATCTATCTTCACGGCAGCCGCATTTCTGCTATCATCATCATCTCCAGTCATCGAAACGTCTCCGTCATCGTCGTCACGTCGTCGCTTCGCAGCGCCCTTCTTCATGTTTGATCCTCGCGACGAAATTTTGCTGGAAGCTTAATTTTTAGCCTAAATTAGCGAGAAAATAGGACGAATGAGAGAAAAAAGATCAGCACCCACCGATAACAAACATTCTAGCTGGAAAATTCAATGTTTTCAGCAAAAATCATGCAAAAAAAAGCGAAAATCATGCGAACAGGTCCGCGCGATATTCAAATGGGCCCTTGTGTGTGTTTGAACGTTTGCGCAAAGGGAGGTCAGTGAGAGAACCAGAGAAATAGTGTGAGAAACTGAGAGAGTGCGCAGAAAAAATTGGCCTAGGCGCGCCGGGGAGAACATCTGCTCGGAATGAAGGGAAAATTCGATTTTTTCAAGATGTTCTCAACATTTAGATTTTAGAAAAAGCAAAATATCATAATATCTGATCAGAAGACGTCCGAAAACCACAGAATTAGATGTAGAAATCGATAAATCGACAGAACACCCTATTTTGCATTGAAAATCATGACTAATGAAGAAAAAACTATCGGTTTCAGCGGAAAATCTCTCCAAAATCGTATTTCCTTCAAAATTCCGGCCCAAAATCATATAAACGAAGTGGAAATCGATAGAAAAAGCGGCAGAAACGGTTTGAAAAGATGATTTCGCGCCGAAAGTCGATGGAAGAGAAATTGGGAAAAACTCGGCCAGCGGGGCTTCGACCGCGGCTCTTGTCGATTTACGGGACTGTGCGATGAAAATATTTAATTGACGGAGTTGACACAGAAATTCATAGAACTTGGGGACCATTAAAATTGTTATTGTGTTCAAAATAATTTTAAAAATTGCGAAAAAAAGAGAGAGAGAGATCACACAAAAAAGTTTACAATTTACATAATGATTAGGTCAACAGTCTCTCAAAAACGAGAGCAACGCGTCGACTTTCTTGCAGAATGTGGCTCCGTAGAGTTTTCGATACGACAGCTTCTTCCACGGATGCTCCTCCGGCTTCGCAGTCTTCTCGTTCACCACAAATCGCCGCACCAGGATCTCCGGATCTCTTCCCACATGAAATTTGAACAAAATCGATCGAGTGGCCGCCTGATTGCACAGCAAAATGTTCGGCGCCGGATTGCCCTTATCATCAAGAGCGTAGACGTTCGAGTACAACGTTTGGAACGGCGTGATCCATTGATTGCGACAAACCATTGCGAACATTGACACCTGGTAGATGCACACACAGTACTGACAAGCGTACAGCACACGAGCCGAGTCTCGATCGCATTTGATGAGCATGCCGTCTTTCGTTTCGATAGTGATACCGTCACTGGAGACGCTCGCGAAGAACGTGTGATGCATTCTGTGACTGGAAAAAGAGGGCATTCTGGAAGAACATTGGATATTGGGCAATGGGCAGTAGCAAAATCTGAATTTACTACTGCTAGGCAATAGCAAAAATAAATTTTACACCTGCCTAGCAGTAGAAAAATCGTCGATGTGGCTTTTTGGTACTGCTTAGCAGTAGCAAAATGAGATGTTGAACATGGAGAGCAGTAGTAAAATTCGAATTTACTTCTGCTAAGCAGTATCAAAATCTTCCACGTGGCTCGGGCAGTAGCAAAATCCGAGTAGTACCAAAACTCACCCTGACAAATACAAATCATAATCCTTCGACACCACTTGAAACATCATTTTCGAATAGTTCCGACCACAATGCAGCCATTTATACTGAATAGTCGGATCCACAGACGATCCGCACATCAGCTCAGCGACCTCAGTCATCATATTGACCAACGCACGATGGGCGGCCATGTCGAGCATTCTGTCCAGAATGGAACGAGGTGTAACGGCACGATCGGCGATTTGTCTCGCATCGAAACCTCCACAACCTCTCAAATCTAGACTTTCCGGTAAATGAGTTATAGGCATCGAACAGAAGAACTGGGGCCGAACGAATTTGGTGCACTCAAAGCCGATGATCATTTCTCTAAGAACTCGATTCAGATAGATATCTCCCTCCTCGTGGATTTGTCCTGCTTCGAATGGGAACCATTGGAGCTCAAAGCGTAAGAGATAGTCGTCGAAAAGGCGAATTAAAAGTACATTATCACGAATGATAGAGAGCCGATTTCGCAGCTTGATAGCGTCTTTGCATAGGGTATTGAAGGTGTCTCTTAACAATAATGTGTTTTGTGCCCATTTCAACGAATCCTTCCAGTGCAACGCCTTCACCTTCTCCGCATCCACCTCCTTGTAAGAGTACGCGTAGTCGTTGCTCTTCGGATCACGGAACAAATCTCCCGATTCGATATCATCCTTGACAATTTTCACAACCAACATGCTCCTCCTAGCCAGATCTTTCGGCACGGAAACCTCGATGATCGATAGATCGGAAGTCTCGAATTTGTTTGAAAGACTTCGTCGCGAAATGTCGAAAAGGTTCGGTGTGTCGTATTTCCAGCCGAAAATGTGATAGGAGAGATCACCATAGACGTAGTCGCCGGTTTTTCGGACTCGCCAAATCTCGCGCATCTCTTTGAGCTCTCTGGAAAAAAAATTATTGGAGTGGAATCGCGTTTTCTATTATAGAAATTCTATATGAAGAACTACAATTTTGGTACTGCGTAGCTGTAGTAAAATGAAATTTTGACACTGCCAAGCAGTAGTAAATTCGATTTTGCTACTGCCAAGCAGTACCAAAATTTAACTTTACACCTGCCTAGCAGTAGCAAAATCGAAATTTACTACTGCCGAGCAGTAGCAAAATCCAGATTTACACCTGCTTAGCGATAGCAAAATCTTCCGCGTGGAATTTCCTACCCAGCAGTGTCAAAATTTAGATTTTTCACTTATTTTTTCACACCTTCCACCCACTTACTCGAAAAACTTGGTCCTCTGCAGGTGCGCAATATAATCCACCGACAATCCCAAATTCCGCAGCGCCTGTTGCCTCTGCTTCTGCGCAATATCCAGCACCTGAACGGCTTCTTGCAACGCGCGACGCTTCCATATCCACTGGGTTCCGCGCATCGTCTGAATGTGCTCTGGTGTCGGCTCGGCTATCGTAATCGGGTCCAACACGGTCAACGCCTTCATGTAATCGGTATTTTTCATTACGGATAGGTCATCGAGAAGAACGTTTAGCTGGCTTAGCGATTCGCTGGAAAGAAAAAAGAACATCGATATTATTAAACGAGAATCTGAATTTTTACTGTAAATATTTCGCCACTGAACTCCATGGTCCGGCTTCTGGAGTCACTAATTCCACGTTGGTTCCTCCTTTCTCCCCTTTTCTACTCGGCACGCCTTCATCGTCCAGCTCTTCTGTCTGATCAATCTTCGCATTCTCATACGGAGTACTCGATCCAACCAATTTCATCCATTCAACTCTTCTAGCCAATTTTCCGACTTGGTCTGTGAACGTCTCGGGTTTCAGATACTTTTCGACGCCGTCGAATCCGATTTCTTGGATTTTCCAGTCATCGTTGGCTTCTAGAACGAGATCTACGCCCTTCCGAGGCGCTAGTATGCTCGGTGGCTTTTCAGGTCCCTCATCTATGACTATAGGTTCTGGAGACGATGGACTAGCGCTACCCGATTCCATTTCTGGAAAGCGTAGGCTTCTATTGAAACTTGTGACCGATGTTAGAACTAGATAACTAAAGGATATAGACCCTAACCTAGAAAAAAAATAATCCGAGTTAAAAGTAGAGACTTTATAAGGGTTCACGAAGAAGGAAAGAGAAAAATGATGCACGGAACCGAGCTGAGTGCGCGCGCAATGATGAAGCGAGTGGCGACAACAACCCGCATCAAGGTATGTACAATGGAAAAATGAGACAACTGGGGTGGGAGACAATCAATGGGAAGAGGTAAAGAGCAACAGGGAGAAAAAGGAGGGGGATTCTAAACTGAGTATCTGTGAAAAAACAAAGTGGACATTAACGGGGACGGGGGCAACAGATCAACAAAGTATAAAAGTTTAGCAAGAAAAGAGAACAGAATTTAGTGCATGCTGTAGGTGTTGTCCTCCTCGAGCTCGCATACTTCTCCTTTGAAATCGAACTTGATGTTGATGTCAAGGTCGCGGTTGTTCTTCTGGTTTGGTGCCATTGAGAAGTTGCCGTTGATGATTTCTCCGGTTCTCACGGTAAGGGCATCCTAGAAAAGATTTGAATATTAAACAGTTTCACTTTATCTCGAGTTAGTTACCTTCAAATAGAAGACGGTTTGCTTCCAGTGGGTGTATTGCACATCTGGTCCAGTCGAGAATCCTGTTCTCTTGTGGCACTTGGAGAACTCCACAGTGAAGAAGGTGACGAACGCCTGAACGTAGTCGTTGCGCTTGGTTTTCAGCTGGAATGGAGAGCTGAACGAGAGATCATCGACAGTGACGGTGTAGAGATCGATCTCCTTGATGCAGGTGTTGTTGGTGGTGACCTGTCCGGCGTCAACAACATCGACAAGTGGCTCCTTGACGGCGACGTTCTTGATAGCAGTCATGTTGAATCCGTAGACTGAATCCCACCAGTGGATCTTGTCCTCCTTGTATTGACGGTCCTCGATGGCGCAGATGTAGAGCTTAGCCTTGTCTGGGAACAAGCTTCCTCCTGGTGCAAGCCACTTATCACGAGCGTGGAGGACAGTGTTGAGCATGGACTCGTAGAACAAGCAGTATCCCATCCACTCGGAGATAATAATGTCGACCTTCTCATATCCTCCTGGAAGCTCTTTGACGTCTTCAACCTTAGCTTGAATGACCTCAACAATATGATCGAGGTTGTTGTCCTTGATGATTTGCCGGGAAGTCAGAGCCATGTTGGAGAATTCCATCTGCAAATTTTGAATGAAATTCAAAGAGAAAAGAATTTAAAAAAATAAAAACTTACAGCAAAAACTTTCTTGGCTCCAGCCTTTGCAGCGAACATCGAGAGGATTCCGGTTCCGGATCCGACGTCCATCACAACCTTGTCCTTGAACAAGTGCTGGTTGTGGTAGATCGAGTTGCGGTATGTGGTCGTGCGGACCTCGTCCTTCAGCATCTCCTCGTGGATTCCGAAGTGAGCGTACGAGTCGAAGTAGTAGTCTTTGCTGGTGAGCTCATCCTTTGGAGAGGAAGCTGGGGCGGCGGAACCGTTAGTCTCGGTCATGGTTCTTACTGAAATTTTATATATGAAAAATTATTTATAGAGATGGAGTTGTTGATTAGAGGCGAGATACAACGATAGGAAAAAAACGATGGGAAAATAAAAAAGATGTCGTATTTTCAAGAGCCAGAATCGAAAACTTTTTTCTCTTTTTCTCAGGCCCAATTTAGCCAATTTTTTTAAGTTTTCATCGTCGAAATTACAAATTCAAGTTAAATTTTTTGAAAATTTAGCAAAAATTTCCGAAAATTTGGGAAAATTTCACCCAAAAATGGCAAAAAGTGCATGGGAAAAGTTGAAATCGGATTTCAAATCGACACCTCAAAAGTATTTCGTTGCGAGACCCAAGCGCGATAAATGCATGCTCCTTTAAACTTGTGTGGATTTACGGCGGCGGCTACGTGTAGCCAGAAGCTGTTTTGGAAGATTCTTGGCTGAAATTTCAGGATTTTTCGCTGAAATTTTTAAAGATGAAAATTTGAATTATTTATTTTTCAGTTAAAAAAGATGAGCGACGACTTGCCAATTGATATTCACAGCAGCAAATTGCTAGGTAAGAAATTATTTTTTCAAAATTTAAAAAACAACTTTCGATTTTCAGACTGGCTGGTTTCCAGACGCCACTGTAACAAGGACTGGCAGAAGAGTGTGCTGGCGATTCGCGAAAAAATCAAGCACGCCATTCTAGACATGCCAGAATCGCAGAAAATCGTTGAACTTCTTCAAGGCGCTTGTAAGAAATTAAAAATGGCTGAAATTGCAAAAATAACTGCGGTAATTTCAGATATAAACTATTTTCATTGCTGTCAAATCATCGAAGTTCTGAGGGACACTGAAAAAGACACCAAAAACTTCTTGGGATTCTATTCGTCGCAACGAATGAAAGATTGGCAGGAAATCGAGGGAATGTACAAAAAAGATAATGTATATCTGGCAGAAGCGGCTCAAACTCTTCAGAGACTCGCTCAATACGAAATTCCGGGTCTTAAAAAGCAAATCACCAAAAATGATCAAGTAGTCTCAGATGCTATTAAGAAATTCGCAGATTATGGGAAACAATCGGAGGATGCAAAGAAACAATTCGAGAAAAACGTTCAAAAAATGGGCTTAAAAGGAGTCAGCTTGAGAGCGGAACTCCTGGCACTAGCTGCAGATCTTCCAGCGTTTTTTGAACAAACTTCCAAGGATATTCAGCAATTATCACCAGCTAGAGACTATTTCAAAGCCTTCCGAAGTTATATGCACCAAAATTCTGCTCCTGAGTCCTCCATTCTTCCTCTTTTAGCTCTAATCTGTGATCGTGGTGTAGATGTGACCACCTATGAATGGAAGTATCATCAGAAGCCAGATAGAATTGAACAACCAAATTTCGAGCTACTTCTAAAAGACGATAAGAAAGGTTCAGATGAAATCGATTTTGGAGATGATATTGATTTTGGTGACGACGATGGTGGCATTGATTTTGGTGCGGATTCTGTAGAGATTGACATCGTCGCCGATGACTCTGGTGCTGTTGGAGAGAAGGTTGCAAGTGGACAAGACGCATTAAGTCTTCTAGAGAACTCGGAAGCTCAAAAAGCTTTGAAACTAGAGCTCAACGAGCTTCTAGCCTTCCTTAGTATGCGTTTGGACGATGAGACACGGGAAACTGGAGCGGATATCTTGATTCGAGGAGCTGAAAAACGACCAGACGACGTTGCCAAAGTGACAGATAAAGATTTGAAGGCCTGGATTGCAGAAATCGAAAGGGTGTTGAAGGAGTTTGAGAATCCACAGAAGATCCATTTGTTCAAGATTCGGGGGTGTCCACAGTGAGTCAATTTTTCTTGCTACAAATTTCAGTTCAAATTGAAGCCTTGATTTTCAGCTTTTATTTAAAGCAAGAATTAATTTTCTAACATGATTTTGGGCATAGTTAAAGACATCTAAAATTGACCATAGTTCATTTTTGCTACTGCTTGGTAGTACCAAAATCGAATTTACTACTGCTTCGCAGTGTCAAAATTGCATTTTGCTACTGCTAGGCAGTAGCAAAAAGCCACGTGGAATATTTCACTACTGCTAAGCAGGTGCAAAATTAGATTTTGCTCCTGCTAAACAGGTGTAAACGGAGATTTTGCTACTGCATCCACGTGGATGATTTTACTACTGGCAGGCAGGTGTAAAAGTGGATTTTGCAACTGCTTAGCAGTGCCAAAAACGCCACGTGGAAAATTTAGCTGTACCAAAACCCAATTTTCATTATTCCAGATACGTCGAACAAGTCGTAGAGCAGCTGGAAAAGAAACGCGACATGGAACAACGCTACAAACGTCTCCAATCCTTGATGACTGATAATCAGGAGGCCGCCCGTGTCGCCGTCTCAAAAGCCAACGCTGAGCTGAAGACGATTGTGGAGAGCACGAGATTGCTCCAGAAGCAAGTGGAAGCGGAGATTTCGAAGAAGTACAATGGTCGAAGAGTCAACTTGATGGGTGGCATTAATCAAGCACTTGGAGGAGTCTAAATTCCTTTTTTTAAATTTAATTCTGTTTTTTTTGTATTTTTATTGCACCCCTCCTCCATGCCAATGTGATTATCCTGTCGTTTTCTAAGTCAAATTAATTTATTTAAAAACTCCATGATATTTTCTATATTTACACAAGTTCTCGCACAATTTTGCGCATGTAGACATCCCCCCCCCCCCCCCCCTTCATATTATTTGTCTTTTTACTTGATAATTGGGGTTGAGTTGGGGGATAAGAAGAGCAAACAAAATTTGACATTGAGAGTTGGGGAGAAGAACAAGTGCTCCATTTTTTCTAGCTGATAGCAAAAAAAACTTGTCATCGGGCATTTTAATGTCTAGGAGAAAAAAGAATGTCTAGAGAAATATTTAGTTTGATGGTTTTGGAAAAATTTTGGCAATCTTTGCTCTTGTGAAGGTTTCCGTGGGTGTTAAGTAGGACTCCTACTGTATAGGAGACAGGAGTTTAAATAGTTATTTTTCGGAAAGGAGAAAATAGAGAAAAAGAGGAAAAAAGTCAAAAATTTAAAAATTATCGACAAAAAACCTCGAAAATTCAAATTTCTACGAAAATTAAGATTTTGGAATTTTTATATAATAATTGGAGGGTTTTCAAATTTTTAGAGGAGTTAAAAGAACTACTAAAATCGGGTTCATTAGCAGTAGTAAAATTTGCCACGTGGCGATTTTGGTACTGCTTCGCAGTAGCAAAAGTTAACCAAGCTCAATTTCAAACGCCAATAACTATGCTCAAGCTTAAGTTAGAAACTTGGTTCTTGTTTTAAATGAAAGCTGAAAATCAGGGCTTCAATTTGATATAAGATTTGAAGAGTAGAAAAACAAAATTGACTGCCGAAAAGTGGCTTGAATTGAGCGTGCTTTTTTTGTGGTACTAAATTTTTAGCTTTTCATAACTTTGCGCAAAAACAAGATAGAACGCTGATTTCGATACCAATTGGGAGCTAAGATTCAGAGTTTCAGGGTACAGTAACATTTCTTTTTTGCGACCTGGCGATTTTGGTACTGCTTAGCAGTAGCAAAATTGAACTACGCTCACTTTTAGACGCCTATAACTTTGCTCAAAATCAAGTTAGAAAGTTGATTCATGTTTTAAATGAAAGCTGAAAATCCGGGCTCCCATTCGAACTAAAGGTTGTGAAATACAAAGAATGAAAAATTGATTGCCGAAACAGTGGATTGAACGGAGCTTATCTTTTTTCATGATACTAATACTTCGAATTTGTATAACTTTGCACAAAAACAAGGCAGAATGCTCATTTTTATATCAAAGGAAAGTTAAAAATTAGGGCTTCAACATGAACTCGCAAATGTATACCTTTACACTAAATCAACCTAAAAAAACGAAACTTTAGCCAATTTTCGGAACACTGGTTAATCTCCCTTCAATTCCAAAATAAACCCCTTTGGTTTATTCTCCCATTTACTTTTTGTGTCTATTTGGTTTTGATTTTGACTGATAGAGCCGTTGCCAACTCTCTACCTTCACCAAATTCTTCTAGGGGCGGCGTAAGTGGAGGGATTTTTGAGAGAAAACGAGGTAAACAGTAATTTTGCTCTCTTCTGAGAAGTTAGGGGCGTGGTCTGTTTGTTTGTACTGTAAGAGACGAATGGCAGGTATTTAATCAACGGCGCGGCAGAAGGTCTTGTTGCACTGCTCACAACTTTTCAGTTTTTTTATTTATTTCTGCTTTTTTTTTACACATTTTTCAAGTTTTAGCCCAATTATGCAATCCTTCATCGTTGCCTCCCTTCTTGTCGCCTGTGTCCTCGCTCAGTACCAACAACAACAGTACCAGCAGCAGCCAAACAACCAGCAGTATTATAAGTGAGTTTGGGGGATTCTGAAAAAGCTGAAATTTTGAAGATTTTTTGAAAATTAAGTCTTTAATTCCAGACTAAACAACTTTTTGTTTCCTATGATCAAATGTTTTTGCGATTTGGTCAAAACCTAGAAATCCTGAAATAGTTTTTAATTAAATTCTTGCGCCATATTCAATTCTAAACTTTAACTTAGCATTGAATCTCTCTTTCTGGATTTCGCGTCTGATTTTGTGTGGTTTTCTTGAAAACTAAAAGCCCTTGAAAGCAATTGATTAGATTTTCGGATTCAGTGAATGGAGACCTTTCCAACGATACTACTTTCAGTTCTCAACTCCAACTTTAGGGTTGTTAAATTTCCGATCAAAAATGGCAACCCAATTATCACTACTGCCAAAAAGTATAGACTCTATTAAAATCACTTTGTCAACAACCAGCTTACTTTACAAATTTTAGCTCAAATGTAAGCCCTGATTTTCAGCTTTCATTTGAAATAAATATCAACGTTCTATCTTAATTCTGAGCAAAGTTATATCCATCTAAAATTGAGCATAGTTCAACAAGGTTTTACTACTGCCCCGCAGTAGCAATGCCAATTTCTAATTTTGCACCTGCTAAGCAGTACCAAAATTCAACTAAGCTCAATTTCATACGCCTATAACTATGCTCAAACTTAAGTCAGAAAATTGATTCTTGTTTTAAGTGAAAGCTGAGAAGCAGCTTTTTAATTTGAACCAAAATTTCTGTAATGGAAGCAAAAATTGACCGCTGTAAAAAAGGTTTCAATACAGCTTACCTTTTTTCATGGAACTAAAACTTTGAATTTGTATAACTTCGAGCAAAAACAAAATCAAAAACAAGATAAAAATGGATCTTAATACCAACTGAAAGCTAAGGTTCAGGGCTTCAATATCAAACTTTCCAGCAATCAATACCAAACCACCACACGAGGCTACAACCAGAACCAATTCGGCCAAACCCAAAACCAATTCGGACAAACGCAATTCGGACAGACCACCACACCACGCTACACCAGCCAAGCCATGTACGGAACGACCCAGTCTGGCAGACAATTCGATCAACAAGGAAACCAAGTGTTCTTCAATTCCGTTGGAAAATCCACCGCCGTTTTGTCGTTGGTCGGAGCCGCCGCCTACGCTCTTCTCTAAGCATTTAGATCCCGAAAAATCCTTAAATTTTTTCTAAAATTTCCCCAACCTTGTATTTTCCCCCTTCCCCCAAACTTGGTGTCAAATCTCAAATTGTAATAATTTTTTCAGTTGCCATTGTACAAAGACAATGCCAACTCAAAAATTCGCCAGTGACTCAAGTCCCCTATGGGTAAATTGTTCATATCTCCGAAAAGAAAAAAAAAGAGAGAAAATAAAAAATTACATCAAATGTTTACCTACTTCTTTGCCTTCTGTATACAGTTTTACGCACAGAAGAGTTTACTCAAAAGTCACATAGTTTTCAAAATAAATAGAGAAAAAAAAAGAAAAAAGAAGAAGGGGACACACCTGACTCATTTGTGATCGGGAGAGTTTTGTTTAGGTGATCGGAGAAAAAAAATTAAAAGCAAATATTTTTTTTTGGATGTGCTCAGGATCATAAAATGACGGAATTTTTTTTGGAATCTGAAAAAATCTATTTTTCAGGATTTCGATGTTTCGAAAAATCTGGAATTTCAGCATTTTTGAGGCTTTGAAAATTTTAGATTTTAAAAAACATTTTAAGGATTTTGATTTTCAGGTTTTTTTTTGGAGTTTGAGGATTTTGATTTTCAGCCATTTTGGGTTTTTTTGGTTTTTATGGATTTTTAGAATTTCTAGGACTTTCAGAATTTTTAGATTCCGAATTTTCACGAATTCTAGAATTTTCAGGTTTTCAAGATTTCTAGGGTTTTCAGGATTTTAAGATTCAGGATTTTTAGGATTTCCAAGATTTTTAAGATTTTCAGGCTTTTTAGATTCAGGATTTTTGAGATTTCAAGGAATTCTAGGATTTTTAGGATTTTCAGGATTTTTAAGAATTTTATGATTTTTATGATTTTTAGGATTTTTTTTGGATTTCAGGATTTGAATTCTTGACTTTCAAAAATAAAACAATTTGAAATTCCGGGATTTCTGCAACCCAAAATTCCAAAAATTCCAAATTCCAAGGTCCTCAAAACCAATAATGTTCAGCTTTTGCTTCCAGAAGCTTCTGAATTTCTGAAAACCTTTTTTCTTTATTTTTCTAGGTCAGGTTCGGAAAACTCGAGAAAACCTTGTTAGTTGTGCAAATATTGTATGTTACTGTCTCAAAAAAAATTAGCTGAGCACAAAAAAATGACGTAGCCATGTTTTTTTTCTAGGTGGACCCGATCATTGAGCTCCAAAAAATTTCTCAACTTTCTCGAATTTTTTAATGAGAGAAAAATTAAAAAATTTGAATCTCAGACAACTTTATTCACAAATAGAAACAAAAAAAAATACACAAAAACTTCAAAAAGGTAGTTAAAACCCTCCACGAAGTGCGAGAACCAAATGAAGGACAGATCCTCCTTTGACTTTGTAGTCTTCACAAGTTTTATCGTCATTCATCTGTTTTCCGGCAAAAATTAGACGTTGTTGTGGTGGTGGGATGCCTTCGTTTTCTTCGATCTAAAAATTGGATTTTCAGGTTCACTAAAAATTGTATTCGTATCTTGATTTTGAGCAAAGTTATGAAGCTTTGAATGTTTAGTAGCATGTAAAAAAATAAGCTCAATTCAAATCCCTTTTTCGGCAGTCAATTTTACGTTGGTTTTAACATATTTTATATGAAATTGAAGCTCTGTTTTTCAGCTTTTTTATGCATTTAAAATAAAAACAAAATCATGATTTTGAGAAAAGTTATGAAGGTTTAAAATTGAGCATGAGTGAAATTTTGGTACTGCCAGTTCCGATTTCTCTACTGCTTAGCAGTAGCAAAATAGATTTTGGTACTGCTAAGCAGTAGCAAAATTGAACAACGCCTAACTTTAGACGCCTATAACTGTGCTCAAAATTAAGTCAGAAAAATGATTCTTGTCTCAAATTAAAGCTGAAAATCAAGACACAAATTCGAACTAACATTTGTGAAATAGAAGAGAAACTTGACTGCCCAAAAAAATGGTTAGAATATGGCCTTTCTTGGTACTTAAATTCTGAGGTATTATATCTTGTTTCAGACACCAGATAGAAAGTTGATTCTATATTTCTATAAGAAAATTCTTTGTCAATTTGAAGCTCTGTTTTTTAGCTTTCAGTTACTATAAAAACAAGAATCTGATTGTCATTTTTAACAATGGTTTAAAGGGGGATTCCGACCAGAAATTTTTATTGCATTAAAATGTGTTAAAATTTATCTATTTTTCAAATATTATTGCGAAAAAATTCAAAGATAATCCGAAATTCCCGAAAAACGGCGTTGAAAAGGAAGAAAATTCAAATAAAGGTGCCGCCGGGGACGAGGATTTTCAGTGAGAAACCTAGGCCACGGCACCTGACAGCCTTTTGTTCAAGTCGCCGACAGTGGTTTTTTACGTTTTTTACCTGCCGGACATGAAATTGAAAAAAAACCGGAAAATTTGCCACATAGGAAAGGCGTCCGCTGCCGTGGCCTAGGTTTCTCACTGAAAATCCTCGTCCCCCGGCGGCACCTTTTTTTGAATTTTCTTCCTTTTCGACGCCGTTTTTTGGGAATTTCGGATTTTTTTTTGAATTTTTTCGCAATAATATTCGGAAAATAGATAACTTTTAACACATTTTAATGCAATAAAAATTTTTGGTCGGAGTCCCCCTTTAAATGTTCAAAAATAAATTTTATGAAATTTTGGTACTGCCCGGCAGTACCAAAATCTATATTCGCAGTAGTAAAATCCAACGAACCTTCTTCTTAACCCTCTCGATTTTGTCACTGGAATCGATGTCGAGCTCGATTTCCTTTCCGTGAGAGTCTTGACTTTGATGAGCATATTCTGAAAACGAAAATCTTAAACTTTGGGATTTTTTGCCTTTTTATGGATGAATTCAAAGAAAAAAGCAATAAAACACGAAGGAATACAAAGAGAGCCAAAAATTAAATACTGCAGCAAAAGAAGAGACGCAGAAAAATTCAGAACAGGAGGACGAGGACGTTGTCAGGACAACATATGCACGAGATTATGAATCTTCTAGGGGGAATAGGAGGGGCAACGGCTTATTGAACTTTTTTTTTTTGATTTTTGGGTCTCACCAGGAATGGGTATCGATACAAACAGATGCGTTTCTGAATTCTGGTTGGTGGCCTAGGAATACGAAAGTTTTGAGATTTCTAGGCCATCATAGTTTAGGCTACTAAAAAAAGTGTACATTTTCGAAAATACCAATTTTGATCAGAGTTATGAAGCAATGAAGTTGGTGGCCTAGAAATTCAAAATTTTTGGTTTATAACAAACTTCAAAATATTGAAAATTTTAATTCAAATAAAAGGCCTGATTTCCATATGTCGTTTAAAACAAAAATCAACTTTCCACCATAATTTTGAGCACAGTTATAGGCGACTAAAAGCAATTTTGCTACTGCTAGGCAATACCGAAATTTCATAACCCTGTACTTTAAACCTTCATAACTTTGTTCAAAATAATTACCTGATTTTTATTTTAATAGCAAACGAAAACTGAAAAACAGAGCTTCAATGTAATTTAAAATTTATTTATAAAAAAAAGACAAATAAAAAGATAAATTGACTTTATTAATTGCTCATCTCAAAATCAATCAAAGCTAATCATTCTCCAATTATCGCAGTGACCGGATGACTCTCAATTAGACACCAATCGATTCCTCGTTTCACACGAACATATCCATCCTCTCCCCAATCGCTATTCCATGAATTTCGGACGGTCCAATATGGTACTCCATCGTCTGAGGTACCATAACCGATAATGGCAACTCAGTGCCATTCGATTGGAGTCATTTGATAGCAGTCTTCCGATTGGAGCACTCCCGAATTGTACCAGAAGAATTTCTCGCCAACTCGGAAGTCTGGAAATTTAGAAGAACATTTTTTGCTCCAGAGTTTAAGAAGATCATTTCTAATTTCTCAAAATTCAAGTAGTATGAAAAAGTAAAAGCTTCATTATTATCATTTTTCGACTGTCCATTGTTATTCTACTTGGCAAGTTTTGATTCAAATTAAAGCCCTGATTTTCAGCTTTCATATTGTAAAAATCAATTTTCTAACTTGATTTTGGGCACAGTTATAGGTGTCTGAAAGTTAGCCTAGTTCAATTTTGGTACTGCCCAGCAGTAGCAAAATTAAGTCTGCTAAGCAGTAGCAAAATTGAACTACACACAACTTTGGACGCCTGTAACTAAGCTCAAAATCAAGTTAGAAAACTGGTTGTTTCAAATTAAAGTTTAAAATCAGGGATTTAATTTGAAATAAAATTTGCAAATTTTTATGAATTTTGAAAAAACTCACAAGTGGCGGAAGGAATATGATTATAAAATAAGTTTTCCATGATATCCTCCTCAGCATACTCCTCATCAAAACGATAAACGTTCAAAGTTCCCGCCTGGATTACTGTATCTTTCTCGTCAGCTACACAGTTACCAGTTGTATTCGCTCGAAACTCTTCATACGGATACTCTCCATCGCTACTCTGTCCGTTTCGGCTCACAAATTTCAAACCGTTGCGTGGATCGCCTCCAACGCATCCTGGAGTGTCTCCAGAATCCGCGCAATCACAAATTTCTTGATCCGAGAGACTACGGTAATTTTTGGAGCTCAAAGCTTGTGCTGTTTCGGTGATGGCAGTGGTGGCGAACGCCCAACAGCAACCACATTGTTCTGAATGATTTGATGGGAATTTGAAAATTTGAAAAACTCAAATTTTCATAAAAAGTTTGAAAATGCTCACCCTGATCCTTCACCGGAACCACAATTGGACTTCCATCAATTTTGACACTTCTCAAATCAAAATTTTCTAAAATTCCTCTTTTCGAAATTCGTTTCTGATTACGTGGATGTTTTGGTTTGTATACTGGAAGGTCCGTGTGGTTTTTAGGATGGATCTGAAACCAAAAAAACTAGATGGCCTAATTTTTTTATTTGGATTTCTGGACCACCAAATTCCAATTGTCATAACTGGCTTCAAAATTCAAATTTTTTGGAACAACTAGACTTTTCTATACTCTCACATCCCCAGTATTCTGTCTATGGCCTACAAATTTCAAAATTCTGATTTCCTAGGCCACCGTACCTTTGATAACCGTCCATGTCTCTCTTCTTTCGTCCTATCCGCAAACTTGTTTAATCCAAATGTCACATTTCTTCCAAATTTCCGGGCTTCCTCGTTCAATTCTTTAATCCTTTGATGATTTTTCGCAAAATGTCTCAAACGAATTTTTTTCTCCTCAGCGGTACGGTAGTGCTTCTTATGGTGGACTCTAAACTTTTCGAAATGGTCCAGGACTTCTTGAGAGTGCTGAGCAATGCAGAAATTTGATAGGAGAATGGGAAGAAATACTAGAGAATATAACATTTTGCGTTGCGAAATTTGGAGAAAATTTGGGCGTTTTTAGAGAGATAGGAGGGTCATAAAAGTGACTTTTCGGGAAAATATGAGATTTTTCCGATCAAAAAGTTTGAAAAGTTCACTGAAACAAGAAAAAGTGTTTCAATGGAACTTCAGTTACACTTCTTGAGCTTTTGAGAACTAAAAAAAATTCTTAGACCAAAAATTCAAAAGTTTGAGAACCAGATTCTTAAGAACAATACTAAATAAGAAAAGTCTTCATTGAAAAATTTCTTCATTAAAAAAAAAGTCCTTACTAAGGAAGAATTTTACTGAGAAAAATTCTTACTAAGAAAGATTCTCACTAAGAAAGATTCTCACTAAGAAATATCCTTACTAAGAAAAAGCCTTTTTTTTGTTTGAAATGATCCAAATTGAATTTATTGAAAACATTTAAAAAATCGGAACTCCAAAATTTAAAAAAGTTAGTTTAATGAATGCAATCAGTTCCCTCTCCTGGATATCTGTTTGCCAAATTCAAAACTCCAATATCGAACACTTGTGCGTCTTTTGGTCCCTTTCCAACGGCATTCTTTGGCACATGAATGGTCACTTTCTTTGGGCAAAGCTGAAAATTTCAGAAAATTCTAGAAATCCAGAATTGGTAGCTCACTCCAGAATGATTGCATCTGTGATAGATGTTGATTTTCGGATCGATCTTTCTGATTTTTCTCTGCGATCCCATGACCTTGAAGGTGCCGTCAGCGGTGGTCTTCACCGAGTCCATTTTGGTGTCGTAGACTGGAATTTTTGGGTTTTTAAGATATTGGGAACCAATTTTTCCCTTTTTACAGTTTTTTAAAACGGAAATTCAATTTAGTTAACAGACTTGTATACTGCATTTTTTATGCTGATTTCAAAAATATATAAACTGAGGAGGGGGAAGTTGCCTGGTGCATCTACCCTCCAACTCCTTCTAAAGGTTCCCTCTACCCACGCAACGACACTCCGCTATCCCGCTCGGCGCGCGCACAGTTTGATTTTAGTTTTGGGTGATTGCGAGCTTGGATTTGGCTCGTGGTTGTTTTAGAGACTCTTTTAAGGATTTCAAGTGAGTTTGCTTGAATTCTAAGCTTTTATTTGTTGTTTCTTTCTAACTTGTTCATAATAAACCGATTTTGTTACATTTCTTGTTGATTTTCTTCTATTTTATCACAGGAACCTGATACCCCGGACATACCGCTGGCAATTATACAAATTCAGCAAAAACCGAACAAGTTATGTTTAAACGAATTTCACATGGATTTATTCATACTGAGACAAGGAATCTTACTTTATTGTTTTCTTGGGATTTGGACGTAAACTGATAAAGTTAGAACAAGATTTATCCAATTTTGATACTGCTAGGCAGTACCAAACTCTCAGAAAATCAGTCATAACTTGCTTAGTTTTTGTTCAAATTGAAAAAAATCCATATTTTTGAAATTAGCATTAAAAAACGCGTATTTCTGTACTCCATAACTTACTAGTTCCATCCTCGAAAAGCTTGATTCTGACATCTTTCGACGGTTGTCCGTTACACACCAATTTTCCCACGACAGTCACCGTCTGTTTACTTCCGACGACGCCGCCCAACGCATCAGTGAGCACGAAAAGGGAAAATAGAATCACGAATTCTTTGAACATTGAGATTTGGGGCGATCCAGAAGGTTGTTTAGAATCAAAAGTGAAGGATTCTCTTGGATTTTGGGGGATAAGTTGACAAGGGACACATCAGGGCCAACTGTTGTTTGTGTAAAAATTTCTTGAGTCAAAAAATCAGAGATGTATAGAACTAGAAGAGAGAAAAAGAGGAAAAACAAGAACCAAAGAATTGTATCAACACGTTTTCACCAATATCTGTTTTGTTTTTCTGATTCCTTGCGATCAGACATGTTGTGTAAACTTCTAAACTTCAAAGATTCCAAAATATCTATCCATATAAAAGAACCCAGAGAAACCGGAATTTTCAAAACCTTAAAAATGCTAGTATCTTTAAAATCCTTCCTGCTCCTTCTTGCCCTTATTGGCTTTGCCCATGCCCTTGGAGGAGTCGTTGGACGAGGACAAAAGGTTACGGTAATGGGAAAATTGGTGTGCAATGGAGCTGCGGCGGCGGATGTCAAGGTTAAGATGTATGAGGATGGAACTAGTGAGTTTGAAAAGATGCATTCTTCAATGATGATTAAAAAAATATAGATTTCATGAAATTTGAACAAAAGCTGCAAGTTCTGGATGATTTTCTGGGCGATAAGCCCAATTTAGAAATTGCGGATTTTTTGGAAAATTATATGAAAATATGCGTTTTTTGATGCAGATTTCAAAAATATTAATTTCATACAATATGATCAAAAACTGAGCAAGTTATGACTGCTTTTCTGAGATTTTGGTACTAGTAGCAAAATTAGAAAAAAAATGCATATATAACCTTGTGGACTAATTCAAAACTAATTGAAATTAACGTAAAAAATCCCGAAAGTCTCAAAAACCCAAAAAACTCGACATTTTCAGTCTATGACACCAAAATGGACACCATGAACACCCTTGCTGACGGAACCTTCAATTTGATGGGTTCGCAAAAGAAAGTTAGAAGTATCGACCCAAAACTCAACATCTATCACAGATGCAATCATCATGGAGTAAGCTATGAAACTTAGAATTTCTAGAATTTCCTGGAATTTTTCAGCTTTGCCCAAAGAAAGTGACCATTCATGTGCCAAAGAATGCCGTTGGAAAGGGATCCAAAGACGCTCAACTCTTCGATATTGGAGTCTTGAATTTGGCAAACAAATTCCCAGGAGAGACCACTGATTGTATTCATTAAATCTCTTTTTTTATAAAAAATGGTAAAAAGTTGTCTGCATAAAAATAAACATCTTCAAATTTATAATCCATTTGATAGATATTAATATTCCATTCAATATATGAAAATGTGCGCGTTTTAATGCTGATTTCAAAAATATAGATTTCATACAATTTGAGCAAAAATCAAGCAAGTTATGACGGATTTTCCGGCGATTTGCTACTGCTCAGCAGTACCAAAATGAAAACTTGTACCTGCTAAGCAGTAGCAAAATCGAACAAATCTGGTTACAACTTCTTTGGTTTGGTCTTAATTTGAATTAAGTTATATATTCAGAATCAGTGCTGCAAAACACATTTTCTTGGAAAATTTCATGAAAAATGGATTAATCTGAGCGGAGTTAGCTTGAAAAGCGTATTTCGACTGCTTTTTGGAATTTGTTACTGCTAAGCAGTACCAAAATCGAGGAAATCTTGCTCAAACTTTCTTAGTTTTGCTCCAAATTTAAAGAAAATTATACAGTTAGATTCCTTGTCTCAAAGTGCATAAATCCATATGAAAATTGATTGAAAAATTAGCACAAATTCAAGAAAATTTTTCAAAAATGAAAAATTATGACCGATTCAATGAAGAATTCGCCACCAAATTATTCAAATTCCTTGGCGCTGACACCATAACAACGCCACTATTGCTTTCGGCGAAGAATTTGTGATTGTGGAACTTTTGTAAAAATTTGCTACTCTCCATACACTTTCGGCGGACCTGAATTTCAAATTCTCTTTTCAAAATCTTCGAAATTACTTACTGTTTTACTAAAATAAAGCAACAAAATCGGATGGGTTAGTGTTAGAGCATCACTGGCAAATGGGGTAAGCAATGGGATCCAACGGATTAGAATTCGGACAATTTCCGAATCTAAACTGGTTGGCATATTGGTTAGATAGTAGTTAGATACAGTAAGACTTGTTAAAAAGAGATCAATGAGGAAAACGGAAAACGCCATGGAGAATAAAGAAGATTCAGGGACACGAACGCCGGTTCTGGAAAGTTTTTGGGGATTTTTATGCTCTAAAAAAATCTGATTTTGAAATTTTGTAATATATTAAAAAAGTGTTTTTCAATGCTGATTCCAAAAATGTGAGTTTTATCAAATTTGAGCAAAAACTAAGAAAGTAATGACCGATTTTTAGAGATTTTGGTACTGCCTAGCAGTAGCAAAAATGAAGATTTGCACCTGCTAAGCAGTAGCAAAACAGGGAATTGCTACTGCTCAGCAGTACTTAAATCAGATAAAACTTGTCCTAACTTCATTAATCTTTGTTCGAATTCGTAGAAAATTATATATTCAGAACCAGTGTTGAAAAGCAATTTTTTCTGAAAAAATTTATACAAAATGGATCAAGCTGCGCGGAGTTAGACTGAAAAATGTTAAGTTTTGGTACTGCTTATTGTAAAAAAAACTGAAAAGCAGTACCAAAATCCAACAATTCTTGTTCTAACTTTGTTAGTTTCTTACCAAATTTAAAGAAAATTATACAGTTAGACTCCTTGTCTAAAAACGCATAATCTTGTAAAATTTTGCTTTTAAAAAATACAGAAAAAATTTGGAAAAAAACTTGTTTTTTCAGTTAATTCCACTTACTTGCTCATTTTGTACAACCGTATCCCTGCCAAAACATTGAAAACTATATTGATCATAGTCAACAAAATTAAAGTAGGCATCAAGAAATAGTAAATATTGCTTCGACCCTAAACTTTTGTTTTTTTTTCAAAAATTTTCAAAATTTGAAAATATTACATAAGTGGTATCAATGAAAAAGTTCGCTGTAGGGGACCAATTGAAAAACGAGTGATTCTGAAGTATATGTCTTGTGAAAAATGCAAATGGGATCAAGAACATCGATAAAATGATAAGCCAATTGAATTTCATCCAGTACTGAAAACTTTGAAATTTTGAAAAAAATGTGTTTTACAAAATTTTTTTCTAATCAACTTTCAAATTATCATAACTCAGCTAGTTTTGCTTTAAACTCAAAATTTCTTATATTTTTGAACTCAGTAAAACAAGGGCTTCAAAATGAGTATAAACAAGGCAAACTTTTAGAAAAAAATTTTGGATTCAAAAAATTATTTTTCGAATGAATGTTCAAATCATCATAACTCAGACCATTTTCCACCAAATTTGAAAATTTGTATAATGTTGAACTCAGCAAAACAAGAGCTTCAAAATGAGTATAAACAAGGCAAACAAAAAAGTCTTTGTAAAATTACCGTACCCTCTCACTATGAATCGGAAAACAAATCGCTGTGAATCGATTCGCGCAAACCAAACTGTTAAAAATATACTGAGTATAGGCGAATTCAAAATGAAGTGTATGAAACAGATTTAATGGAAAAATCACATCCGTATTGTTTAAATTTAGGTTACTGTAGAAATTGGAAAATGTTCCAGAGACTCCAGTGTTTTGTGGAAGGCGTAGGGTTATGAATGAATTACTGTAGGTAGCAAGATTCTGAAAAATTGAATTAGAAACTAAAAAATTGTTTTAACTTACCATAAAGTATCCAAAGCAAAAAAGTTGAAAAAATGAACTTTTGAAGCTCGCGGAGTTTTTCAAAATCACAATTGTCACACCTGTATAAATTAGCATTGCCAGAATCCCATAAGAAGTGGTGATCATGAATTTTGGATTTGTTAAAAGATCCATGGTTCTGGAATTTTCTGAAAATTTGAAAAAAATCGTATAGCAGCAAAAAATGGATTTTCTCATATAAAAACGATAAAAGAAGAGGACCCTCATGAGAAATAAGATTTTTTTATTGCTGAAAAAAAATAGAAAATTAATTTCAGCTTAAAAAAATGCGTCCATGATATTACGAAAAATGATGATATCCAAAAACTACTAAAGCTTCAAAATAACATCACAAAAATTAGATTTTCCGCTTTTATGAATTTTTATGTATACTTTCGTGTCTTTTTCCGTATGATAAAAATTATTAAATACGCTCCAATGAACACGGGCGGTGATTTGAAACTTTTTCTGGGAGATGGTCTGATAGACACGTAGGCAGATAAAGGGCCAAGAATTTGAAAAATGATCGGGAAATTTGAAAAAAAAAATTACCTGATCAGAAAAAATCTAGGTCATGACCCGAAAAATCTAGATCATGACCTAGAAAAAATCTAGGTCATGACCCAAAAAATCTATGTCATGACCCAAAAAATCTAGGTCGTGACCGAAAAAATCTAGGTCATGACCCAAAAAATCTAGGTCATTACCCAAAAAATCTAGGTCATGACCCAAAAAATCTAGGTCATGGCCTAGTAAAAACCCAGGTCATGACCCAAAAAATCTAGGTCATGACCCAATTTTATAGTTTTGGAATTTCGGAATTTTGGAATTATGAAAGTTCAAAAAAAAACCTTCAGGTCCTCTAGACTTTGCTTTTTAGAATTTCAGAATTAATTTTAAATTCCAATTTTACCCAAAATTTCAGAAAATCATAATTCCGCATCGATAAAAATAAAAATTTCATGGGTCTTAAAATAAATTTCAGAGGCTAAAAATCGGAAAAAGGGTCAAAAATTGTTTCCTTTTCTGCCAGAATGACTTCCAGGTACATACATAACAAATTTTATGTTCAAAAAAAACTTTATATCCCAAAAATATCCATGTGACTTCAACCGAAAAATTTTAATCAAATTATAATTTTTTGATTCCTGAATTTTCTGTATTTCCAATTGTCCCGATGTCCGTACAAATTTCAAAACAAACCGTACTACTTTGAGCTCAATAATTTCACTTCCTGTAAGAGATATCAAAAATCTGTCAACTGATAAAATGTTGGTGATATTATGATAATTTTTTTTTCAGTGAACAAAATTTGGATATTTTCCACAGGAACCGAGATAATGGAGCTCAAATTTTTGATTCGTTTTTTGAGCTTTTTTTAGTTCCGCGTACTCAAAAATTGTGTTTTACCTAACCCTAATTTTTTGGTATTTGCTAAACAAATAGTACGGTAGACAAGTGAAAAATTTAGGTAGATCAAAAATAGTTCAAAATAGATAGAGATAGATAGAGGTAAACTTGTTCAGTTGATCAGAAAAATTGAAAAAATTGAATTTCGAGACATTATTCCACAATTTATATATCTTTGAATCGGATTCATTTTGATCCGGATTCCAAAACCAAAGAAAAAAAAATTACTGACGCAATTTTTCAGCTAATCCCTGAAATTTTTTTGTTAGCTCCCAAATTTTTAAAGTTTGTGGATCCCCTGGAGAATGTTTTTTTTCCTAAAATTTCAAGAGATCAGAAAATCTAAACAACGTCATTTTTTTTTCGAAAAATATGATTCATGAATTTTCTACAGGAGAACCGGTTTTTTGATCCACTTTTAGAGATCATAAAAGTACTAATTGTTGGTCTTTTTTTTTGCAGAAAGTTTCGATGATTAATTCGAAAAGTTTGACTTTATATATCTCATTTCCTGTATAAGATATCAGAAAGTGATCAATTGATAAATTGTTTATCATATTATGACTAACATTTTATTAGTTGACCAGTTTTTGATATCTTTTGTAGCAACCGAGATAAACGAGCTTGAAGTAACCCTATTACCCCTTATAGCAGTCCACTGAAACCATCCACTTTGAGCTCAATTATCTCGGTTCCTGTTAAAGACAACAAAAAGTTATCAAATATCAAATTGTTTATCAGATTATCACAAATAATTTATCAGTTTACCTCTTTTTAATATGTTTCACAGGAAATGAGATATGTAAGCTCAAAGTTTGGTAATTTTTCGACTTTTTTTCAAAATTCATTTTCCCCCAAATGACCCATTGTTTTATCAAAATTTCCCTTTCAAAATCTCCGGTTCCTGATCTATATTTCTTCATTTTGTATACAAAAAAAACACGAATTTTCTGATCTCTTATAGTTCCGTGTGTATCTAAAAAATACCAAGGTAGTATTTACCAATTCTTTTCTAAATCACCAAAAAATCACATGAAACGAAACCCCGGGCAGATATTTGTTTTCTTTTTCTCGTTTTTCTCTGCCGTCTCTCACTTCTCCACACTCTCTCGCTTTCCAATCTCAAACAGTTCGCCAATAGGTTAATCAACAAAAATGACGTGTTTGTCCTGCGAATTTCGACATTTTCGTATAATTATTATTATGTTGATCCTTTAAATGGGCGGAGCTTATGACTCACTTTTCGAGTATAAATAGTCGCAGATTCCCTGTAGATTTAACCCTGTAACTTTTCAAAAAGATTCAAAAATCCTTTTAAAAATATGAATTCCACAAAATTCCTGACCATTTTCTCTGTTCTCATTGTCTCCACCACCGCTTTGCTGGGATTTATAGGATCTAAGCAAGGGGTTACGGTAACAGGACGACTCATTTGTAATGGACAACCTGCTAGTGGAGTACTTGTCAAGATGTATGAGGATGGAACTAGTGAGTTTTGAAAAAATGAAGAAAATGTGTTCAAAAATCCAAAAATCATGAAAAACGAAAAAATTGTGTTTTTTTGAGTTTTGTAAATTTTTAGTATGTTAATATGCGTTTTGGAATGATGATTTTAAAAATGAAAGTTTCATGCAATTTGGACCAAAACTAAGAAAGTCATAGCCATTTTTCTGAGTTTTTGGTACTGCCTGGCATCCACAAATTTCGGAAAGCAGTACTAAAAGCTCATATTCTCAGTTTTAACTCCGCGCAGCTAAACCGGTTTTTTGTGAAATTTTGATCGAATTTTTATACTGAAACGCTGATTCCAAAAATATAACTTTTACCAAATTTAGACCAAAATAGTGAAAGTTATGACCATTTTTCTGTAACTTTGGTACTGCTTTCCAGTGGTAAAATAGGATTTTACTATTGCTTAGAAGTAGCAAATTCGGATTCTGACACTATTGGGCAGTACCAAAATGTTGGAAAACCCTTCATAGCTTGTTTAGTTTTTGTCCATATTTTATGAAAACTATATTTTTAGGATCAGCGTTAAAAAAAATTTTTAATGTAAAATTTCAAAAAAAATGGGTCAGTCTCCGCGGAGTTAGAACAGGAAATGTTAAATTTTGGAACTGCTTTTTGAACTTTGCTACTGCTGGGCAGTACCAAAATGTCGTAAAATTGACATTTTAGATTGTAGTCTTCCAAAAACCGGAACTTTTTTGAAAAAATAAAGCCCAAAACCAGTCGAGAAGCAGTACCAAAAAATTGTTTTTTCAAAGAAATTGAAAAATCGTTTTTTTTCTCTGAAAGAATGAAAAACGACAATTAGCTGAAAAAAAAATTGATGTACAGAGGAACACAACCTTTAGAAATTTTTTGTCCGAAAATCAAGAAAAACAATAGAATCGTCACTAATTTTCAAAAGAAAAAAACAGGAAATTATCTCAAGCATTAAAAAAAACTGTTAGAAAATAGGTTTAGTGATTTTTGCTATTTTTATTTAAAATTGAAAATGTGAAAAAAAAAAATCAAAAAATTGACCTCAAAAATATGAAAAATTTCAGTCTACGACAGCAAATTAGACTCCCAAAAAACTGGTGCCGACGGGACGTTCCGTGTATCAGGATCTCAAAATAAAATCCGAACGATCGATCCAAAAGTGAACATTTACCACAAGTGCAATTATAATGGAGTGAGTAATTATAGAAATTGTAAAAATTTTAAAAATGTTTCTTTCGAATTTTTTTCGAATTTTTGGAATCAATTTTTCAAAACCTTATATCTTAGCTCTCAGGGCATCTAGAACCCTGATTTTTGGCTTATGTTGAAGCTCTTCTTTTGAAATATGATTATTTTTTTAAAATTCAAAAATAAGATCAATGACTTATCAAAAATTGTATTTTAAAAACCTATTTTTCGAAAAAAATTTTTTGGGATAAATTTTTCAAAACGCCATATCTCAGCTTATGGATCACCTAGAACCTTGATTTTTAATTTAATCAAAATCTCCTAATCTATAATCTAATGTCATTTTAATAAAAATCAAAAAATTTCCAGCTCTGCTCCAAAAAAGTGTCCATCAACATTCCTAAGAGTGCAGTGGTCAGTGGATCGGGCAGCAACGCTCGTAACTACGATATTGGAACCATTAATCTGGCCAACAAATTCAGTGGAGAATCTACGGATTGCATTCATTAAGAATTCAATTATTTTTGACCAAAAATTCAATATCATGACCTTGATCTGATTTTTAAATTTTTTTTACCTACCCGGTGAATTTTGTAAATATTGTATTTTTTTTGAAAGTTTCTTGCAATTAAATTTTAAAACTTACATGATTTTTCAACCTGTTTCGATAAATTAGCTGAAAATCTGAAACTTGTACAAAAAAAAATTCAAAAATTCAAAAATTTTTTAATTGAAAGCAAGAATTAAAGAAATATGAGATGATTCAAAAGTGGTTAATAAAATACAATTTTTGAAAGAAAAAACCGGCTTCGCCATACATATAAATAGCTTTTTTTGAGTTTTTGACAAAGCAAAAATTTTGGACTGAAAATTTTCAGACACACCAAGTTTGCTCATTGGGATCGTTGAAATCTGGGGATTCAGATGGTGGGAGATGCACATTCTCATAGTAGCTCAGGGTCTTGTCGATTCGTTCGTCCTGAAATTTGATTTTTGAAGTTTTGAGAAAATATTTCCTTTCAACTATTAATTTCAGTCTTCCCCTAATCACCTTATCTCTAATTATCTCCCTCTTCTCTCCTTCTGCCACTACTCTTCTATCCGGACTTCCCAGAAGACTTGAATTCGGTGTAGAATGAGCAATTGGTTCGAAAAATGAGCAACTCAAATTTCCAGGCCTCCTATTTGGACTATCATCCGATTCTCGATAGTTTTGAGGCGTTCTAGGTCCGGTGCCACGTGGATTGTACGGTGGAGGAGGGGGGCGGGACCGGAGGGATGATGTCACAGGGGTATTTCGAATTGGGACACGAGGAGGAAGGAATGGGGTACCTGGAAATAGGCATTTTTGGTACTGCTTGGCAGGTGCAAATTTCAATTTTGGTACTGCTAAGCAGTAGCAAAAATTGCATTTTTAAAATTAATAGTAGCTAATCTTGGACATTCGAAAAAATACTTTCAAATCGTTAGAATGCTCTTAAAATTTCAGAGCATATTAAACAAAACCAGAGCTCCATTTTGGTAGTTGACGACTTTTTCGTAAAATGTTTCCCAAAAAAGATATGTCACGTGGAACTACATAAGCAGGCGAAAACTTGGGTTTTGCTACTGCCTAGCAGTAGCCAAATCCAATTTTACTACTGCCGGGTGGCACCAAAATCGGAGATTTTTTGCTCTCACTTTTTTAGTGTTCGTCCAAATTTGGTGAAAACTGCACAGGTAGATTCCTTGTTTCAAAATGCACCGATTTGTATAAAATTTGTTTAAAATTCGTCTAAAATATCATCAAAATACAAAAATTTGCTATGAAAATTGATTTTTCGTTCGCTAGGCAGGTACAAATTTAGATTTTGTTATATATGACAATATGCCTTTTTTGAACCTGATTTCAAAAATCTAGATTTCATACGATTTGTGCGAAAACTGTGAAAGTTATGATCAATTTTCTGGTATTTTGGTACTGCTTAGCACTAGCAAAATGAAAAATTGCACCTACTAAGCAGTAGCAAATAGGGAATTGCTACTGCTAAGCAGTACCAAAATCGAAGAAATTTTGTTCTAATTTATTTCCTTTTTGTCCAAAATTGATAAAAATTATTCCTTGTTCCAAAATGCATCGATGTATATAAAATTTTTTGCAAGATTCTATTCTGCAACGGCTTAGTAAGTGCAACTTTTTGTTTTGCTACTGCCAGGTAGTACCAAAATCCTAGAAAATCAATCATAACTTTTGTACTTTTTATCCGAATCCGATAAAAATCATACTGTTATGTTCCTCGTTCCAAAATGCATCGATTTATATAAAACGTAATAAAACTCACTAAGATTATGCGCCTCATAATCATTAATATATCTTCTGGAACCGGCGGAAATCCTCACTGAACCACCCAAAAAATCGTTTCGACTTCGTAAAAGTGCATTTTTTGTCACTGTGAAGTCTGGAGAAACGACGTCATGATCATCAGAAGACGAGCAGGTTGGTGGCAAATTGTCATTGTCATCTGCGATTCCTAAATGGTCAAAAAAAATATTTAAAAAAAAAAAAATTTCAGCCAAAGTAGTTTTCTCAGCTTCCAACAAGCGAACATAGACAAATGAGACAAATAAAAAAAGCACATAAAAAGAAGCACTATATATTTATTGAACAAAGGACACTGGACAACTGGACACACAGATAGATAGACAGACGAAAAATAATAATAAAAATCAAAACAATACCCGACGACTTTTCTTGAATTTTAGCACAAAATTAGCACAACGGGTATGAGAGACATGCAGATTTAGCTACTTTAAGTGAAGTTTCTTTTTTCAGATTTACAGATAAAATTTAATTTTGGAGAAGTCCAAAAATTAAAAAAAAAATTTTCAAAATTATTTTTTTTTCAAATTTTCAATCATAAAATGGTCCATCAATCATTTTTCGGACATTTGGATTTGTATAGGCTCCTTGTAGAATGCTCTCCTTCAAGTCTCTAGAACTACTTGGATTTTTAAGACGCCTCAAAGACAAAATTTTGGAGAAAGAAGACGTCGAAGCGGACGTCATCAATTTTAGTGCGGATTTTTGCGAGAAACTTCTAGAACCATGCAGTGGACAGTCTTCTGGAGACGTGTAGACTCCAGAAGACGATGTAGACGTGGATTCAGACGACGTGGACACGGAACATTGAGAATTACCGGCTAGTGGAGGCGAACTGCGCTCATCGGCTGAGTAGACGCTGCTGTCTTCGGTTGTTGAGCCGCCGTTGGATGTGGCGCGGCGCTGAAAGTTTGAATTTATGAAAATTTAAAAACAAAAAAAAACAAAGAGGAAATTGCCCATATTTCGAGCCAAAAATCAGAAAAATCGGATGAAAACTGATTGAAAACAATAAGCCTGTACCTTAATCACCCAGTTTTGACTTTGAGCCAATTTATCTCGGTTCCTGTAAAAGATATCAAAAATGTGTCAATTGATAAAATGCTTCTGATGTTATGATAAACGTTTTGTCAGTTGTCAAAGTTTTGATATCTTTCACAGGAACCGAGATATAGGGGCTCAAACTTACCCTATTAATCAAAGCTTTGGCTGCTCGTTTAACCAATGGTTGCTTCCTTTCTGGAGTGGATTTCTTATTTTCCATCGTTCTGTATTGATCCATTATTTTGTCTTCTAATTTTTCCTTGTGTCGTCGTAGAGCAGAAAGTTGGTCCTGAAAGATTGAAGATAATTAGGGCAATTTTGGACAAAAACTAAAAAAGTTAGAACCGGATTTCGGCGCTATATGAGTTGAGGAGTGCCTTCGCAGTAGCAAAATGGTAACTTGCACCTGCCCAGCAGTAGTAAAATTGAAATTTGCACGTGCTTAGACAGTTCCACGTGGCATATCTTTCTTGGGAGCAATTTTACAAAAAAGTTGTTAACTACAAAAATAAAGCTCTTGTTTTGATTAGTGTATTTTGAAAATTTCAGACAAATCGAAAAATCTGGACTATTTTTTCACAACTTTGAATCTTAGGAGTTTTAAGTTGAAAACCCAAAATTTCAGGCACATTTTCAAAAACTTTTCAATAAAGTTTTATACAAATCGACGCACTTTGGTACAAGGAATCTAAATTTTTAATTTTTATAAAATGTGGACCAAAACTAAAAAAGTTAGGACAAGATTTCTTCTATTTTGTAAAAAATTTTTTTGAAATTTTTGAAATTTTTTTCTCTAATCATGTCATATTTAGATTAGTTTTTTTAGGTTTTCAAAATAGTTTACTTCCACAAAACAAAAAATTTGCTAACCTGATAATCCTTCATCTCCAAATGATACTGATCCTTGTCATGAAGGGCTCTCTGGAGCAGCTCTTTATTCTGGGTGAGCAATATCTCCAGTTGTCTCGACAAATTCTTATTTTCATCGTTATAAGTTCGATTCAGCTGACTTAACGCATCGATTTTTGAGTTCAACTTGTTGATTTCCGACATTTTCTGACCCAATTGCTTCTTCAAGTCGTCAATCTGATTATTCCGATGTTGACACGTGTCATGGGCTCGTCGGAGCTCCGAAGAAAGCTCATCGCGAGTCTGAACGAGCTCTGTGACATCTCTTCGAAGATTATCACAATGGATTCTGCACATTTTGTGCTCTTTTTCGAGCTCTTGAAGTTGACGAATCGCTTGCTCTTTTCTAGCGATCTCCTCGGATAGTTTGGCTTCGAGCTCACGGATGTTGGCGTTCATGAAGACGGCCTGTTGCTGAAACATGGATGTTTTTGGTTTGGGAGATTGAAAGAATGGGGGATTCCAAAGTTCATGAAATTGGGGATTTGAAATTCTGATTCTCCTATAATCGAAAATTCCGAAAAGTCCCAAATTTCCAAATTTCGAAAATTCGGAAATTCCAGAAACTTCAAAATGATGTAACTTCGCTCAAAGTGATCCAAATTTGAAAATTCAAATACTCATGGAAACAGCGAAATATCAATTTTCCAAAAATTTCAATTTTGAACTCACCCTCGGAATATTCTGAACCTTCTGTCTCAATTCCATCGATTCCTTCTTCGCTTCATCATAATCCCTAGTCAACAAATTATGCAGCTGTTGAAGTCTCGAATGATCGACCAACAAAGTTTTATGCATAGATTCCAGCTCATCCAAATTCTGATTTCTCTTCTTATTCTGTTTTTCCAATTCTTGGAGTTCATCTCTCATTTTTTGATTCTCCTGTTTGACGAGATCCTCTTGAATTTGAGAATTCCTAATAGAAACTTGAAGACGTGCGATTTCAGAATTGCTCGCTACAGATGACGTCGAATTTCGATTCAACTCTTCTATTGAAGCTTTTGCCAGATCGATTTCATTATTTTTGGTGGAAAGTTCCAGATTGAGCTCTCGAAGTTTCTCCTGGAGCATGAAAACTTGCTCTTTGGTATGCATGTTCTCTCTGGTGAGCTCACGGACACGATCGTCGGATTCGTTGAGGGAGGCGGACTCGCTGCGTCTGGAATAATTTATAAATTGAAAATTTGAGAAATTGGGGTCATTTTTAGCCAAAAATCAGGGAAATTGGAGAAAAAATTAGCTGAGATACAGATTTTTGAAATTGGGATCAAAATGTTTTATTTTTTGGAAATTTGGAAATTTTGAATTCTGAAATTTTGTGCTTAAAGTTTAAGAATTAGAGCTTGAAAATTTTGGCAAATTTTGGATCATTTTAAACCAAAGATCATGAATATTGGATAAAAACTAGCTGAGGTAGGGATTTTTGAAAATATGAACATTTTGAAAACTTTCAATTTTTCGAAATTTCAGAATTTTCAGACATTTGGAGTTGATGAATTTTTTTTGAACTTCTGATTGTTTTTTGAATTCCTGAATTTTTGAATTTCTGAACTTCTGAATTTCTGAAGTTCTGAATTTTTGAATTTCTGAATTTCTGAATTTATGAATTTATGAATTTCTGAATTTCTAAATTTCTAAATTTCCGAATTTCCGAATTTCTGAATTTCAGATTTTCTGAATTTCTGAATCTTTGAATTTCTGAATCTCTGAATTTCTTAATTTCTGAATTTCTGAATTTCCGAATTTCTGAAGTTCAAGGTTTTCAAAATTCCAGAATTTCAGAATTTTTAACAATGATTTTCAATTTTTCAAATTCTCGTTTTTAGAATTTTCCGAATTCTCAGAAGTTTCTATAAAGCTAGTTACAACTTTATAAAGCTAGCTACACTTTTACAAAGCTAGCTATGCTCCACTCACCTCAACTTCTCAATATCTCTCTTCAAATCGCCTAATTCCGCAATCTGTTGATTTCCTTGAATCCTCAAATCATCCCTTTCCCGTTTCACAGCCACCAACGCATTCATCATGATATCATCAATATTTTCAATCAACTTCTCATCATTATCCATTTCTTCAAAGTGCGCTCCATTGAGACTCAGTGTTGTACACAGTGACCGTATCCTGCCAACCAAATCCGCTCTTTTTGACTTCTCCTGGACCAAATCCTCTCTAAGTCTCTGCAGCTTTTTGGATTCCAGATCCAAATGGGTTTGGCAAGTTTTTAGGTCATTTTCCAAGTCGTTTTTCTGATTGTGAAGGGAGTTGATAAGCTGATCCCGATCTTCTAGCCTCTTTTGAGATACCTCGGTATTCATTAAAACCAATTTTTGGGATTCTAGAAGGTCCTCGAGCTCCAGGAGCTTCGATTTCAAGGAGGTCTTCTCAGCTTCCAGGGATTTTTTCGAGCGTTCTAGCGACTTTAGCTGGTCCTCGAAGGCTGTCTTTTCTTCCTGGACCTCGTCTAGCTCGAATTGAAGCCGGCGATTTTCCTCTTTGATTCTTCCAAAGCTAGCTTCCATTTCCTCCTCATGCTCCTTTAAACTATCGACCTCCTTCTGGAATTTTCTGAGTTTTTCATCGGATTTGTTCCCAAATTCCGTTTGGAATTGTGTGAATTTTCGCCGAGCTTCGTGGAGTTGTTTGATGGCTTCATCTCGCTCGGAATTCAGATTTTCCATTTGTTCTGAAGTCTCTTCTAGTTCAATTCCGATTCTCTCCAAGTTCCCATCGATTTGCTCTCGTTCGACTTGCAGTTTTTGAATTTCCAGCTGGAGTTGAGCATTTTTGTGTTGCTCAGAGGACAATTTCTGGTGGAGGTCTTCGAGGTTGGGGTGGTGAGTGATTCTGGAAAAAACTTATTTTGAATTTTCTGGATTTCTAAAGTTCTGAATTTCCAAATTTCTGAATTTTCTACAAATTTCGAAATCTCATATTTCAAAAATCAAAAATCTGAAAGTCTCAAAAATTCCAAAATTCAATCTTTCCGATTTCCAAAAAAAAAAAAAACTCACATAGTAGTTTCAGGAGTTGCTCCTTCTGTCTGTGCTCTCAATTTTCGAATTTCCGCTTTCATCATTTCAAATTCGTCCTGTTTTGCGTCCTCCAATTGGTCAGCCAGTGAATCCATGAATCTTGGAGTGTTATTAGTTGAAATTGGCCTGAAATTTGATAGCTTTGAAAAAAATTCTCAGTGAGGATTTTTCTTAGTGAGAATCTTTCTTAGTGAGATTTCTGCTTAGTGAGAATATTTCTTAGCGAGGATATTTCTTAGTGAGAATCTTTCGTAGTGAGAATCTTTCTTAGTGAGATTATTTCTTACAATTTGTGAGAATATACCTCAGTGAGAATCTGCCTTAGTGAAAATCTTTCTTTGTGAGAATCTTTCTTAGTGAGATTTCTTCTTAGTGAGAATATTTCTTAGTAAGAATACTTCTTAGAGAGAATTTTTCTTAGTGAGAATCTTTCTTAGTAAGGTTCTTTCTTGGTGAGGATGTTTCAGATTTTGCCAATTTTTTCAGATAACTGTAGTCTACTGTACCACTCACATCTCCAACTGCTGAATCCTCTCCTCCCTCTCCTTCAATTCCAAATCCATTCGATGCTTCTCCACCAACAAATCTTCAATATCCGAATTTTTCTTCGAAATTTCAGATTCAAATTCTTGAAGAGTGATTTTAAGCCGGGCGAGTTGATCTTCGACACCATTCCGAGATTTGGATTCCATTTGAAGGGTTTTTAATTTTTTATCCAGCTCGGTGACCTCTTCTTCTAGGGTGTGATTCTTTTTGGTGACGGCCTGAAATATTGTCGAGTTTGAGCTTAATTATCTTGGTTCCAACAAGAGATATCAAAATTTTTCAATTGATAAATTTTTTATCATAATATCACAAATATTATATCAGTTGACAACTTTTTCATATCTTTGACAGAAAATAAGATAAACCGGCTTGAAGTTAGTGTCCTCTGTTAGCTGTTAGCAGCCAATGGGCCGCCACTGATCCGTCGCAGCCAAACTTTGAGCCCAATTATCTCGGCTCCTTTAAGAGATATCAAAAATGTTTATACTGATAAAATGTTTGTGATGTTATGATAAATAATTTACCTGTTGATAATTTTTTTATATCTCTAACAGGAGCCGAGATAATTGAGCTCAAAATGGACGGTTTGAATGGGGGTTTTATTAGGGGAAATAATTTTCTCAGATTGTAAAAAATATGAAGAGACCTGTATATTTTGGGACCAGTTTTCCCCAAAAATCGTTTTTTTCCTTACCTCATATCGAGATTTATACAAATCCTTTTCATCTCTCGCCTCCTTGTACTTCTTTTCCACATTTTCCAACGGTTGTAATTTTTCGATTCGACACCGAGCCGCCTGTAGATCATCACTCAACTCTTTGACCTTCCTCTCTTTTTCCAAAAGTTTTAGTCTTTCGTTTTCCAGTGAACTGATTTTTTTTGACTTTTCCTCCAATTCCACTTCTAATTTACGGCATTCTTCGTCTTTGTTTTCACTGAAAAATGTATTATTCGAGCTACCGTAAAACCTGTAATAGAAGGGCACTTGTATGTACTGTCAAGTTAGAGCTCAACTATCTCGACTCCCATGCAAGATATTGAAAATCTGTCAACTGATAAAATCTTTGTGATATTATGATAAACAATTTATTAGTTGAAAACTTTGTTGTATCTTCGACAGGTAACAAGATAAATGAGCTCAAAGTTAACCGCCCTTCTATTGATTCTTTAGATCCCAATTTTATTTTAAACGTCTGAAATTCAAAAATACTGAAATTCGGAAAACAACTTACGCCTGCGTCCTTAACTGTCTCATTTCATGCTGAACATTTGCTAATTGTAGTGTCAGATGACGTGCTTCAGAAGTTGGCGACGTTGAACGGCTCACTGGAAAGATTTCAGAAAATTTTTTTTCAGAAATTATTTTTTTAAAGCTTACTCAGATAGCTGGAATCTTTCTGTTTTATGCAATGATCTCCATTTGAACTTGTAGTTGTGGTACTTTCCAAATCGTCAGAATCCTGGAAAAAAAATTTCGAAAAAAAAATTCAAAAAAAATTTTGAAATTTATTTACTGAATTTTTTTTAAAGGTTTTTTTAAGCGCATTTCCAAGAAATTCGATATTTTCAAACTTACCACATCCTCCACACTCCCACTGGGACCACCGTTATCTTCTCGATCCTTCATGATAAGCTCCGCCTCCTCTTCCCCAACGATTTCTCCAATTTCCAAACTTCTCACAATTTGATTTCCCTCTGTTAGCTCTTGTATATAACTGGCCAGACCAATTTGTATTTCCTGATCGAATCCAGTGATTCGCTCCACAAACACCTTCTTTTTATCGCTTTGAATTGCGCAGCCGAGAAGGAGAAGTAGAAGTTTTTTGAGCTCTTCTTGGAAGCTTTCTGGAAAAGATAGGGTTTTTTTGAAAGAAACAAATGGAAAGATCAGAAAAATTAAATTAGAAAAATTAGAAATTCGCGGGAAATCGAAAGAATTGTTTTTCAAAAAGAAAAGGAATATTTAAATGAGTCTAAAACTAATAGAAGTCAAGTATGAGCTCAATTATTTCGGCTGTTTTGCAAGATATCAAAATTAAGTCAACTGATAAAATATTGGTGATATTATGATAAACAATTTATCAGTTGACAACTTTTTCATATCTTTAACAGGAACCTAGATAAATCGGCTAGTTCCGAATGTTCAAAATTCATGTACCAAGAACACAAAAGCGGACAAAAAGACAGATGTTTGGAATTATGGAACCGCGAGATTCGAAATATATGGAACAGATGTTGAAAATTCTGAAAAAAAAAGACCTAAACATGTTATTCTTAAAAATCTAGATACATTCAATTTTTTGGAACTTTTTGCTACTAAATTTTCAATAAATTTTATATAGATCGATCCATTTTAGAACAAGGAGTCTAACTGTATAATTTTCATCGAATTTGGACAAAAACTAAAAAAAAATACAACAAAATTTCTCCGTTTTTGGTACTGCCCAGCAGTAGTGATTTTGAATTTTGGTACTGCTTCGCAGTAGCAAAAACCAAGTGTGCATCTGCTAGATAGTTCCACGTGGCATATCTTTCTTGGGAGCAAGTTTACAAAAAAGTTGTCAGCTACAAAAATGAAGCTCTGGTTTTGATTAGTGTATTTTGAAAATTTCAGACAAATCGAAAAATTCTGGACTGTTTTTATCACAACTTTGAATTTGACAAGTTTTAAGTTGAAAAACCAAAATTTCAGGCACATTTTCAAAAACTTTTCAAGGAAATTGTATACAAATCGACGCACTTTGGAACATTGAATCTAACTGTATGATTATTATCAAATGTGGACCAAAACTAAAAAAGTTGGAACAAAATTTCTCCGATTTTGGTACTGCCCGGCAGTAGCAAATTCCCGTTTTACTACTGCTGGGCAGTACCAAAATTCAAATATAAAGATGACTTGAGCTCAATTATCTCGTTTTCTATAAGAGATATTGAATATCTGTCAACTGATAAAAATTGCTGTTATTATGATAAACATTTTATCAGTAGAAAACTTTTTGATATCTTTCACAGGAACTGAGATAAAGTGACTTGAAGTTACAAGTTAGGAAAAGTTAGAATCTATCAGTAAAGAAAAAGGGGTACTCTTTAAACTGTTCGACTCGATTACACAAGAAAATTTCCTTTCCGCCAAGAAGCTTGATAATCCAAATTGAACCGGAAAAACGTGGAAAACCTAAGTACTTGTGCACACATATCGTTTATCCTTCGCGCCCCCCTTCCTATCAAAAAATGTCTCCTAATCAAATTTGCGTGGGGTTTCCCTCATGGAAAAGTTTGTTCGGCAGAAAAAAGCGAACAAAGGGAAGAGAAATTTCGAACGGTTGAGTAAAAAACCGGACAGATTTGATTATCAAGAAATTGACTATATGAGAAATACGGTCGGAAAGAAGAATGAGAGGGAAAGAAGTATGGGAATTGGATTATAAAATGTACTTGAGTGTGGGAAGTTCGGAATTCAGACGATTTTATGGAGGGAACGGAGAATTTAGGGACTTTAGAACTCCTATGAATCCACAGTAACCCAAAAAACGATATTAAATTCGTTAAAAAAAATTGTCCAGATATGTTCAATTGGCCGTATAACCTGTTTTAGAATATCCCTCTTACTTTCAACTTTGAGTCCATGCATCTCATTTCTGGTGAAAGATATCAAAAAGTTGTCAACTGATAAAACGTTTATCATGATATCACAAATATTTTATCAGTTGACACAATTTTGATAACTTTCACAGAAAACGAGAAACAATTGGTTTAAGTTTTTATATACAAGTAGAAAGGTATATTTTTAAAGCATATTTCTACAAGCTTATTTTTTGTGAATTTTCAACAAGTTTTATATGAATCGATGAATTTTGGAACAAGGAATCTAACTGTATAATTTTCATTAAATTTGGAAAAAAACTAAAAAAGTTAGGTCAAGATTTCTTCGATTCTGGTACTGTCCAGCAGTGGCAAGATTCAAAAAGCAGTAGCAAAAGTTTACATTTCTAGTTCTAAATCCGCCTAGATCTACCCGATTTGTCTAAAACTTTGACATAATTTTTTTCTGAAACTCTGATTCTGAAAATATAGTTTCCATCGATTTTAAACAAAGACTGAACAAGTGAGAGCAAGATTTTTCCAATTTAGGTACTGCTCCGCAGTAGCAAAATCCGATTTTGCACCTGCTAAGCAGTACCAAAATCCAAAAAGCAGTACCAAAAAAATAATGGTCATCTTCCATGTGGAATATCTCCTCAGGTCCTGATTTTTCAAAAAAGTTGTAAACTACAAAAATGAAGCTCAATAATTGTTTAGTACACTCTGAAATTTTAAGACAAATTGAAAAATTCTAGAATACTTTTTCAGAACTAACTAACTTTGACTATTTTTTAACTAAAAATTCCCCAAATCACAAAAAATTGCTCATAATACTTTTTTTTGTTAAGCGCAAGATGTCCAGTGTCAAGAAAAAAAAGAGCAGAGAGAAAGTGCTCCGTAGAGTTCTTTCGATTTGCTCCAAGTGTGATTGGAGCACAAATATTTGCATATTATCACGGAAAACTCGTCATAAGAGGGGCGATTGAGAGAGATAGAGAGTTGTGATTTTGGAATCGAATGGCAGAAAAAATGAGAGTGCGGAAAAAAATTTCTGGGTAAAAAGAACGATTTTTAGAGATAAAATGAAGGACCCATAGAAAGGGTCTTGAATATTAAATGTTGATTTCGAACTCTTTAAATATCAGTCCCAGATCCTATGTACCATAAGAAAGTATCCCAAATCCCACAGTTTGGTTCTGAACCTTTAAAAATTATCATGAATCTAAAATTTTAGATTTTCGAATTTTCATTTTAAAACCTTTTAAAAAATGGTCCCATATGGACCCTAGAAAAAAAATCTAACTCTAAAATTCGGATTTTGGACCAAAAAATTTTCAAATCTTCTAAGAACATTCAAACGGAAATATATATTTTGTGAAACGGAAGAGATGGGGACGATTGGCACTAAAGTATGTGGTGTAATAAGAAAAGAGAGAGAGAGAGAGAGAGGCAGAGAGAGGGAGGCAGGTGTTCCCCTTTGATGAGCTGTACCAAGAGTACTACCATTGGTAGGATGCGGGAAAAATGAAAAAAAGAGCAATAAGTTGGAAATTTGAGATGGAACATATTATTGGAATTGTTTTTAGAGACCAGGTAGTCTTTAAATTGTAGCTAGCTTCATAAAATCGTAGCTAGCTTTATAGAATTGTAACTAGCTTCATAAAATTGTAGTTAGCTGTATGAAATTGTAGCTAGCTTTGAAAAAATCAGTTTTTCTGAATTTCGAGACATTTTCTATTCAAATTGTTTACAGAATTTGCTTCTCGATTTGTTTAATGGATGGATGAAAACCACAGAAATTTCCCAGGAAATTTGAGCTAATTTATTTGGAAAATTATTTTATTGGAGCATTTAGAATGATTGGTTTCTCGACAAAATGAAATTTTCATTTTCGGAGCTACTGGATTTTAAATTTTGGGATTCATATTTTTTATGAAACTAAATTATCTTAAATTCCAACAAAAAAAACCCCGAAATTCAAGAAAAATTACCTAAAATTCAAGGAAAATTACATGAAATTCCAGGAAATATACCCGATTTCAAGCAAATTGTCTATTTTTCGAATTTACGAAATTTTTGAAAAAAAAATTTAGAAAACCAAAAATTTTTTTTTTTGAAATTTCATGTGAAAAATGAGTTTCTATGGCAGTTTGACTACAAAAAATTGATTTTTCAACATTAAAAGCCCCGAAAACCACCTTAAAACTTTGAAAATCCCACTTTTCGAAAATTATAAAACTGGTTACAGTTTCATAAAGCTATCTACAATTTTATAAAGCTAGCTATAATTCTATAAAGCTAGCTATAATTTTTAAAAACTAGCTACAGTTTTATAAAGTAAGCATTATTTTATGAAGCTAGTTATAACTTTATAAAGCTAGCTACAGTTTTATAAAGCCAGTTTCTATTTTATACAGCTAGCTACAATGTTTCATGAAGCCTAGCTACAATTTTATAAAGCTAGCTACAGTTTCATGAAGCTAGCTGGAATTTCATAAAGCTAGCTTCAATTTAAAAAGCAAGCATTAATTTTATGAAGCTAGCTACAACTCTATAAAGCTAGCTACAATTTTATAAAGTTAGCTACAAGTTCTCCTTCTAGTTTTAAAAAATTCAAATTTCGCGCTGGACCACACCCAAAAAAAACCACTACGGTTTTTTACGACGGTTACCATACAAGGGGAATAATAGAAGAAAGTAAAAAAAAAATCAAAAAGCAAGAAAAGGAATTTGTATGGCTAGAATAAGAAGAATAGGGGAATAGGAGGGGAAGACGAAGACAGTGGATCTGTTTGTACAGTGTAATATGCAAATACTTGGGTATTGGGTGGTTGACTTGAGTCCAATAATACAACACATTGTTGATGGGAGAGGAGGAATTGGTGGAATGAGGGAAAGACGAGGAAGAGCCAAAGAGCAACACAGAGGGAATTTTATATATTGGATTGTAGCTAGCTTTATGAAATTGTAGCTAGCCTTTTGAAATTGTAGATTGCTTTATGAAAATGTAGCTAGCTTTATAAAATAGTAGCTAGCTTTTTTAAATGGTAGCTAGGTTTATAGAATTGTAGCTAGCTTAACCCCTGAAATTCAAGAAAATGGCTCAAATTCTATAGAAAAATTCAAAAAATTACCCAAATCTTAATAAAATGTTCCTAAAACTCAAGAAAAAAACCGAAAAATTAAGAGAAGTTACTCGAAATTCTAGAAAAATTGCCCAAAATTCTAGAAAAAATGGCATAAAATTCAAGAAAACCCGAATTTCAAGCAAATTTACCTTAAATTCAAGTAGAATAGGCGAAAATTCATAAGAATCAAACCAAAAAAAAAATAGTGGACAGCAATAGAAAACAGTCTAAAATAGCCTAAAAACTGACCATGTAAATAAATTGCACTAAAATGAAAGTCATACTCCCCACTAAGAGCCGTCCATCGGCCGCCACTAGCCCGTCGCAGCCAAACTTTGAGCCCAGATATCTCATTTTCTGTGAAAGGTATCAAAAAGTGAATAACTGATAAATTGTTTATCATAAAATAAAAATAGTTTATCAGTTGACAACGTTTTGATATCTTTCACAGAAAATTAGATATATGGGTTCGAAGTTTCTCATCCTACCAGAACCAAAACTGTGTAATGCTAGTAGTATTAGAACTGTAACATCTATAATAATAGCGTTTCCTGATCCTAGTAGTACAAACTAGTCATACAATTTTTTTTTCTAAAACCGATTACAGCTACACACAAAAGAAAAAAAAGAACACGGAAGAGGAGAAGAAGTCAGTATTATGATGATCAAGTGGATATATAACTATATAGCCTCCTCTCTCTCTCTCTCTCTCTCTCTTCCCAGAATGTCACCCTTGCGTTTATTTCATATTCTTATTATCAACAGAGGAAGATTCTAAATGTCTCGCACTCTCTCAATTTCATGTACTCTTTCGTTTCGAACGGTCTTCGCACAAGGTCATTTGATGGATGAGATAAGAAAGGGGTTAATTAAGAACGTTGTTTTTTGTCATGGATGAGAGAAGTTTGGGAATTTAGTACCTCTAATAAAAGGGCACCACACAGTTTAGAAATATGGAATACGGTAAAACCTGTAATAGAAGGGCACCCCTTTCTTTATTGAATATTGAGACTTTAGGCCCAATTATCTCGGTTCTTTTCAAAGATATCAAAAAGTTGTCAACTGATACTCCTGATATTACTCCTGATATTGTGATAAAGATTGTATCAGTTAACACATTTTTGATATCTTTTATAAGAATCGAGATAATTGAGCTCAAAGTTGAAAGTTAGGGAAATTCTAAAAAACCAAAAAAAAATCCTCACCATCAAATTCAATCCGTGTCAGTGTGTGCAAATCTGGCAGCTGGCAAACTATGATTTGCTCCAAATTTGTCTGAAAACCCCGTTTTTTTTGAGTAAAAGACTTTTAAATTACCTCATAAAACCGACTGATTCGAATCAGAAGATTCTGGAATTGTAGGCTCCGTCCCTTTTTGCTTTTTCCATTTTCAGAAAAATCAAGGGACACTTGTTGGGTGTCGGAATCGCTGAAAAATTATATTTTTCTTGAAATTTGAGTTTTTTCGGGATAAAATTAGCCGAATTTTCAGAATTTTGGAATTTCAAAAATCCAATAATTCCCATTTTTTTCAAAAAATCCCTCCCATAAATTTTGAAACTCACATAAATTTCATTAAACTGGTCATCAAAAATCCATCTGAAATTTCTTCAAAATGAATTATTGGACAATTTCGCCGATGCTCCATTCTCCATTCTTGCTCAGGAATTAATGGAGGATCGCCAAGTGCACAATCCCTGAAAATACATATATTTTGTAGTTTTTGTAGTCTTACTGTGGCCTTACTGTAGCCAAAAAGCCAACGGATGACTCCAGAATACTGATTCGGTTTTTCGTTCCTTCATTTTTCGCTTATTGGGTTTTGGTCATCACTGAAAATTAAAATTCAGGGGGGTAAATAGGGGGTAATTAGGAGATAATTACTCGAAAAGCAAAAATTAGAAAAAAACTTGAAATTTCGCAATTTCCAAAAATTATGAATTCAAGAAATTCGGAAATTCAAAAATTCAAAAATTCAGAAATTCAGAAATTCAGAAATTCAGAAATTCCGAAATTCAGAAATTCAGAAATTCAAAAAATCCAAAAATCCAAAAAACAAAAAAAAATTCGAAAATCTAAAAATTTTTCAGATTTATCAAATGAGACAGAAAATTAAAGTTTGCATCCTTCCACGTGGCGTATCTCCTTAGGACCTGATTTTTCAAAAAAATTGTCAACTACAAAATTGAAGCTCTAGTTTTGTTTAATACACTCTAGAATTTTCAGTCAAATCTGAACATTATGGTCGCCACTTTTCCGGACCTGAAATTTGACTATTTCCATATAAAGGCAGTAATCTCATGTCACACTCTCTGGGCAGTAGCAAAAATAGTTTTCTCAGTTCCACTACCTACAGTACTCCTGCCTGAAAAACTACAAAGTGTACAAACAAACATAAAAAGAGAGAGTAGAACCTTTATATGCAAATTTCTTAGCGATTTGACCTTTCCCAATAAAGACCGCCCATCCAAAACGGGACAATTTTTTTGGGTTGACTTTTTTGTCCCTTTTTTGTCGAAACAGCCACTTTTTCGTTCAGTTCTCAAGGTAACATTTGTTATGCAAGAATCTATAGAAATTCCGATTCCCAATGAGACTTTTCGCATTTTTTTTCTTTTCGGAGGAGGAGAAGTTGGAAAATTGGAATGGGAAAATGAGAGAAACGGCGGTGTATATCAAAACGAACGAATGGTGGGTCTAGAAGTTTAGGATTCTAGGCAATAGAAAATTTTAGACCATGAAGACCTAGGCAATGAAATTTGGAAGGTCATCCAAAGAATATTAAATTTGTAAATATGAAAAACTAGTCCAGATATGCTCAATTTGCCGTATAACCTGCAAAAAGAAGAACCCTTCAACTTTCAACTTTGAGTCCATATAACTCATTTCCTGTGGAAGGTATCAAAACGTTGTCAACGGATAAATTGTTCCATAATATCACAAACATTTCATCAGTTGACCACTTTTTGATATCTTGCCCAGAAAACGAGATAATTGATTGAAATGATCAATAGCTGTCGCAGGAAGCGATATAGGGCAAAAATGAAATTTTGGTACTGCTTAGCAGTAGCAAAACTCAAAAAGCAGTACCAAAAGTTTAGATTTCCAGTTCTAACTCCGCCCAGATTCACCTGTTTTTCGCGAAATTTCAGCATAATTTTCTTTTTGAAACACTGATTCTGAAAATATAATTTTCATTGATTTTGAACGAAAACTGAATGAGTTAGAGCAAGATTTCTCCGATTTTGGTACTGCCCAGCAGTTGCGAAATCCGATTATGAACCTGCTAAGCAGTACCAAAATCCAAAAAGCAGTAGCAAAAACAATCTCAGTCATCTTCCATGTAGCATATCTCCTCAGGACCTGATTTAGCAAAAAAGTTGTCAACAACGAAATTGAAGCTCTATGTTTGTTTAATACACTCTGAAATTTTCAGGCCAATAGGAAAAGTTCTGATGTACTTTTTCAGAGTTTCAAATTTGCCTAATTTTTTGGGATTTGGTGATTCCTGGCCATGAAAATGGTTCAAAATCTAGGAAAAATAGTCCAAGTTTTATGAAAAATGGTTCAAAACTCTTTTTTTTTGAGAGCAGGACTTTTTGAAACTAAAACTGTTAGATCCTAGAAGGAAAAACGAGTGGAATCAAACGGAAACACATCATTTCAATGGGTAGAATTCTAATTATAATAAATGTAGCTATTCGGATTGGAGGGGCAGGTTCTAGGGAAGCCTAGTAGACTAAAAAAAAGAGGATTGGAGATTATGGAAATTGCCAAAAAAAAAATGATTGGCCAACACTTTTATAATTGTTTTTTGCTTGGAATAATAAGGATAACTAGATTTGGGTTGTTTTGGGTGTGGTCAAAAAATGGCTGAAAAATTCTAAATTTCAAAAATTTTTCGAATAAAAAATGTGAATTTTTGAAAAAGACACAAAATTTTGCAACAAGAAAAAAAAGACCGAAAAACTCATAAATTCTTTACCTACGGGGTCATAAAAACCCGCGAAAATACAAAAACTAAAATTCAAAAAAAAAGTGAATCCTATGGTTTTTTTGTTTGCTCACTTTTCACCTTTTTTCTTGGAGAAAAATGTAGAAGCGAGAGAGTATTTGAAGAGAAGAGACGTAGAGAAAAAAGAGGAAGGAGACCTGAGGAGAGCAATTAATAGAGAGGTTAACTGTGGGAAGAATGGGTTCTGAAGAAGGAGTTGACGGACCAAGAAGTTGCGGGAAATTCAAAATTTGAATATGATTTCTGAGAATTTACAAAGCTAGGCACAATTTTAAAAAGCTGGCTACAGTTTTATAAAGCTAGCTACATTTTGCATAGGCCAATAATTGGCAAAACTCAAAAATAAGACCGAAAATAGACTAAAGACTAAAATAGGTCTGAAATAGGGGGAAAAGGACATAAAATGGTTAGAAACTAGAAAATCTTGACGAAAAATATATTAAATATTAAACTAGTCTATACGCCTTCAAAAATTACAGTAAACATTATAAAATGGTTCATGCGCCTTTAAGAAAAAAAACCGAAGGCTTTTAACCTCATGCGCATTTTAAAAAACCCCAAAATCTGTCAAAAAATCAATAACTCCTTAAGGAAAGGCACAAAAGGGAGGGGGCACCCTCATGTAAACGTTATTCTGATGACATGGTGAGAAGGCAGGTGGCATTGGCCACCCCACCCGTTCCATAGGTTAACCCCCAGGAAACGAGGCAAGGTACAAAGTGAGAGAGAGAGAGAGTGAGAGACGCAGACAGAAGGACCCACACGGGTCAGGCTAATTAGCATTAGCCTACGGGTAATTTGGTATTCAGGGGGGTCCTTGGTGATGATGATGAGTGAAGAGAGAGAGAGGGGATAGGATAGGAAGGATATGAAATGTAAAATCGGAATTCTCGGAAGTTCGGGAGGATGAATAAGTGTAACAATATGTGAAAATACAAATAGATAGAGAGAAAGAGAAAGAAATTATGATGTAGATATGTATATTGAAATGTAAAATGTATACAAATGTATTGTTAGACCGGAGAAGCTTGGTAGTTGAAAACAGACAAATTTAAAGTCCCAAGACAATAGTTAAAAATTTTCAGATTGTCTGAAATTTTCAGAGTGTACTAAACAAAACTAGAGCTTCTGTTTTGTAGTTGACAACTTTTTCGAAAAATCACTCTCTGAAGAGTTACAGTACCAAACAAAAATATATCATATTTTGCTGTTTCCAGTGAAACATGGTCAAACTTAAAAGCCCCAAGAAACTAGTTCAAAAATTTCAGATTTGTCTGGAATTTTCAGAGTGTACTAAACAAAACTAGAGTTTCAATGTTGTAGTTGACAACTATTTTGAAAAATTTGGTCCTGAGGAGATATGTCACGTGGAAAAAACCCAATGAAGCTGCGCCCTCAAAAAACCACCCCCCCCCCCTTCTCAAAAAACAAGAGGGGGGGGGTGGTTCTAAAAAGCCCGCTCCTTTCCACGTGGCATATCTCCTAGGACCTAACAATACAAAAAATTGACAACTACAAAATTGAAGCTCTATATTTGTTTAATACACTCTAAAATTTTCAGACAAATTGAAAAATTGTAGGCTATTTTTTTAGAGCTTCAAATTTGACTATTCTTTCACTGCAAAAGTCGAAATATATTCTGAATATGAATTTCGGGGTACTGTATCTCAGTTTCTGTGAGAGTAATCAAAAAACTGTCAACTACCAAAATGTTCAGTGTAATATGATACACATTTTATCAGTTGATAGCTTTTTGATACTTTGAAATAGAACCGAGATACGAAGGATTCTAAGAATTTTAGAGTTTGTTTGCTAGTCCATGAGAAAGGTCAAAATTGCTTATTTTTACACCTAGCCAGGCCAAATCTACTAGATTAGAGAGCTCATCCATTTTCGGATTAACACTATACACTATATAAAGGTCAGGATTACTGTAGAATGTCCCAAAAAAGAGAGGATCCAAAAAAAGAGGGGATCCATGATGAATATGAGATTTGATAAAAAGGGGGAGAAGGAAACTAGTCTCTCATTAAAGGCGCATGGCGGCAAACCATCAAAAAGGAGGATTAGGACAGGATTACGGTTTTTTTGATGGACAAGGGATGGTCAGCTTGTCCTAACTAGCAGATAAAAAATCGGACAAACAGAACAACAGACAGACATCTTTCCCGATAGCAATCTGAACTATGTTCCTTTACGGAAAACAACCAACAACAGGGGAAGAATGAGAGATAAGGGAAAATGGAGAGAATTAGAGAAACAAAGGAGAGGAGAACAAATAACAATTGTTGCATAATTTGTGAATGTGTGATAATGATCGGCGGCTGGGCTGGCGTTGATAGGGACAACAATGGAAAAACGGAACGGATAGGGGAGAGGTACCACGTGGTACCACGGTCTGAGAATAGGTCAAAAATGGACCAAGAACGGATCGAAATTGGACCAAGAACGGGCCAAAAACGGACCAAGAATGGACCAAAAACGGACTAAGAACGGACCAAAACGGACCAAAGTGGACCAAGAGCGGACCAAAAAGAACCAAAAATAAACTGAAAACGTACCAAAAACGGATGAAAAACGGACCAAATTTGTTTTCTGAAACTTCAGACTTCCCTAGGATTCCAGAATTTTGATATTTGGGATAATTTTCGGAATTTTCAAATTTTCTAGAATTATCAAATTTCCTAGAAGTTTTAAAATTTCAGGTTTCCATAAATTCCAGATTTTCTGAATTTATGAATTTCTGAATTTCTGAATTTCTGAATTTCTGAATTTCTGAATTTCTGAATTTCCGAATCTCTGAATTCCCGAATTTCTAAAATTCCGAATTTCTGAATTTCTTGAAATTGAGGATTTCTTTA